TGCGATTATTCGAACTTTTATTCTTATTTAATTATAAATAAATATTGTCAAATTCCAATAAAGCATTGTCCAAATCTATTTGAGCGAGCATTGATTGCATCTTCACCTGGCACAACAAAAATTTTGTGCTGCTATCCAAAAGAAGAATATCATACTTCATGGTTGTCATCACAAGAACAAAACTTCAAACAAATCAAATATTAAACTCTGATACCACTTATCAGGAATTAAAGATGAGATTTTATGGCACAATATGAAGTAACAATCACAACACAAAAGAAACAAAAGAAATTGACAAATGAAATGAGAATTTACTATAATGTGGGGAAAAAAATACAACAATATTGTATACGTAATGCTATTCAAAGTCTATACTAGATTATAATTTTCTGGAATATATATAGGACCCAAAAGAATATGTTTTAGATGGAAAGATGATGAAAAATGAGTTGAAAAATGGAAATAATATTTTTCCGGATAATACCGACGCTCGAGCGGCACCCTCGTGCCAGGCGAGGGGAGTGCTCGAGCAATAAGTGAGTTGCAACAGTAACGCTTAGGCGTTGCGTGTATGGCGTTGAGGCGCCTCGTTTTCGATCCAACTTGATTCAAAACACCCTCTATGGCGCTAGACTCCTAATCTCTAAGCCTCCCAAGACCTTTTTAAAAGCTCATTTGAGCAATCCACGAACATTAAATGGAATTTGGGTCACATATTAACAAGTTCTTTGGCGGAATACATATAACTTGTATGAAAATGGCGAGGATTAAAACCTTGAGAAGCTGGTTAACTTTTATCAATGTAGCTTCTTCTGTAAATGGCTAGGGATCACTCTAGAATAATTTTCAAAAGCAGCCATCTTCTGTAGAAGGAATAAAATTAAAACTGTGAACACAAATATTCTTCATGAAAAAGAAATTCCAGATTACCAAAATGAATAAGTTTTTAACAGTGCAAAGACCCATTAATACAAAATAATCATTTTCTATAGCACTCAATCAAATCACCGATAAGCACATTTTATGCGATTATTCGAACTTTTATTCTTATTTAATTATAAATAAATTGAGCGTTTATCTACTTAATTCGTGTAAATTATGTTAATTATAGGAAAATCCGAACTTGGATTCAATTTATGTGAAAATGGGCTATTTGGAGTTTAATTGAAGTTGATTTGAAACAATTGAAAATTAACCGGATTGCAAGAGATCAATTAGATGTATTAATTGAGCATTCGGTAAAAACTCATAAGTTTCGAGAGTTAAATTCGAATTTGAAAATTTTGAGGACTAAATTGAAAACTCTGGAACTTGTCTTGGGTCAACTATTATGATTTTAGAATGAAGAGGACTTAATTGCAAAGTTTAGAGGATGAATGACTAAAGTCACAAGAGAAGAGAAGTCCAATTGAAAAATGAGTTTGTTTCCTTTTATTTCTTAAACCTTTTGTTAGAAATAAAGTTGAACAAGAATTTTGCCTAAATCTACATGCCTTAGTTCAACGATTAAGGGGTTTATAGGATTTCATTAGATACATATTCAAGCCAAGTCTTGGGGATTCATTATACATATATTATACAAGTCAAAATGAGGGAAAATCAATCGAGAAGTTAGGATTTCAAGAAGATTACAAGAAGATGCAAATTTTTGGTACAAGATCTTCATATTTTTCATGTTTTTCATTAAAATTCGGTGAAATACTTTAATTCCTTCTTACATTTTTATTCTCTCTTGATGTGTAATTAAGTAATTATTTAGAATGAATGATTGTAACATAGCTTTTAACCTTTATTTTAATTAAAAAAATTTAAGAGTTTGCTTGGTAGGGGTTAAAATCGGATTAAAATTGAAAAATTAGCCGTTATTGTTGACTTTTATTAGACGAGTGAGACACATTAACGGCTATATTTTCAATTTTAATTGGATAAAATCCCTCCCAAACAAGCTCTCCAATTGATTTTGTGAATTGTTTTTACTTTCAATCTTAATATTTGGATTAATTGGCCACTAATTCATTGATTTTGTGAGTAATAATTAAGTAGAGATATGGATTATTTGTTTAGATCACATAGTAAAAAATGGGAATTAGTATAAAACGTAGAGATATTTATGCTAGTTAATACAATCGTTACATGAATTCGTAGAGATTTAATGCATTTAACTAAGATATATTCATATATGAAATTGACTTAGTTAAATAGATTCAATAAGAACTCTAGAGGGATAAATTGAATATGTTAGAAGAATTCAATTGGATAAACGTAATCAATTGTATAAAACTTGATGATTGAGATAAAGGGGATAACTATGATAAAATCATGAATTCTAGCACTTAAATCATCAGGTTAAAAATTCACTTTTATTTATTTTAGTATATTAAAAATAGAAAACCACAAAAAAATAACTACTTTATTTGTTTTTTATCAATTGAAATTATGAATTGAATCAATTGTTGAATAATAGTTATGGTGGGAACGATATTCGGACTTATATGTCCATTTTATTACTTGTTACGATCTGTACACTTACGGGATCTAAAAATCGACAATAAGATTTTAGCATCGTTGTCTGAGGTTTTTTTTCATTTAGGGCTTGTTTGAGCCCCATTTTTGTCAAAAAAAAAAAGACATTTTTGAATAGTGTATTAATGAGAAATGTATGGTTAAAAAATGAGGAAAGATTTTTGGTCTCTGTGTATTATTATTTTATTAAAAATGTGGTTGAAATGAAGTCAAAACACTGTTCAAGAATGCATTTTTTCCTCAAAAAAATGGGACTCAAACAAGGGCTTCATATTGATTTTGATTTAATGATTTCTTGCTTTCGTTTGATTTTTTTTTTTTTTTTTGCTTTTTCAATTAATCTACTTGTTTTTCATTGCTTCTTGACATGGAATGAAAAGAAGCAAGAGGTCAAAAGTTCATAATAATTGATCTCGACTTACATTATGGTCCTTCTCGAGTTCTCATTAAATCTATTTAATTAAGTCAATTCCAAATCTCTATGTAAATTCGGATATACCTTAGTTAAACGCATTAAATCTTTAAGAATTCATGTAACGATAACATTAATTAGCATAAGTATCTCGCGTATTATACTAATTCCCGATTTTTACTATGTGGTCTAAACAAATTATTCGCATATATACATAATTATCGCTCACAAAATCAATGAATCAGTGGTCAATTAATCCAAACATTAAGATTGAAAGTAAAAACAATTCACGAAATTAATTGGAAATTTAAATTTTTAAAATTAAAATTAAGGTTCAAAACTAAGTTACAATTGTTCATCCTAATTAACTACACATCATGGGAGAATATAAATATAAGAAGGAATTAAAGAACATCACCAGATTTCAAGGGAAAAACGTAAAAAAAGATAAAGATCTTGCACCAAGAATCCACTTCTTCTTATAAAATCTTTGAAATCCTAACTTTTTGATTGATTTCTTGATTTTTCCGTCCTCTTGACTTGTATAATATATGGATAACGAAACCCCAAGCATTGGCTTGAATATATGTATCTAATGAAATCCTACAAGCCTCCCTTAATTGTTGGATTAAGGTATGTATTTATAAAACAATCGCCACTTCGAATTATAGTTTTGTCCATCCATGCACACCACACAAGTATATCTGCATAATTAAAATTACCGTCGAATATTTGAATTTTACTATCTATTTGAAGTGGATGATCGAAGCTTGATGTTCCTGTGTGAAACATGTCAACAGAATGCATTATCCCTCTTTAGCACTTGCTTCGGCTCGCGAAATGCATTAAAAGCTAAAACTCAGGCAACTTTAGATGATGAAACCCCTCTTCCAAATTCTCATCTAAACGAATGACTTGCTTATAAATTCACTTCAATTTGCTTATTCAGTAGTGCAGCAAAAAGGGCATTGAATTTTTAATCTTTAAAAAATTGGCAAATCGAGCAATTTCGTCGCTCACCTCGGATGAATGAAAAGATCAACACAATCACAAAAGTAATTTTGGCATGCAAGCATGGAAGGATTTCAATATCGGTAAAATGAATAGCCTGCATGAAAATGGCTAGGCAAAAAAGAGGGATACAACTTTGTAGTTAACAAGGGGAAGACGCACCATTTTGTGTACATATGAAGATGATTTGTTGCTTATTACGAGAATCAAGTAAGCGTTGAACCTTGAAACCAAATCCGCGGACTTGGCCAGCTGTTGGCGTCGCGTAAAGCAGCATGCAAGGGGAACGAAAGCATAGAAAGCTCGCCTAAAGCTTGCGAACCTTTTCCCATTCAATGCTGGTTATAGACTGTCAATAAAAGGCACTTGGATCAATGAAAGCGTGACTCTAATAGAATCAATTATGAGATTGGAGCCGCCATTTGTCATTTTCCCAAAATGATCAAATTACCCCAAAATTTGGATGGAATTCTATAAATACCTCCCCATTTGAAAAGAAGGAATGCAACTCAAATATCTCTCTCCAAAATAGTCATTTCATCTCTAACTCCTGTTTGAGCATCAAAACTAGTGAGATTTGGAGGTGAAAATCCTAGCTAAAGGAGAGGATCATCTGTTGATCTGATTTTTATCGTCAACAATAAGATTGGTGAATTTTGTCCCTCATGAATCAAATTTGTTCTGTCGGATGTAAATAGCTGACTAATTTACTTCGAGATTCCCAACATTTTTCGGTAGAGAGACTGTAAACAGATTATGCGAAGGATGTTTGTGTAGTCATTTTGAGGCTGGTGGCCTCTGCAAATGTTATGACTTGTAAGTTTTAAAGAATCCATTCATAAAAGCAATTGCTTAATTTTTGTATGCATTATACTTTTTTGTATATTATCTACAAATACCTGTAACAGGGATTTGTCTACTGACATGTAAGCTAAGCTAATCGCATTGACTTTCCTATTCACTTCCAAGTCTCAATATCTTATGGCCTATAGGTCGAATGGAACATTGGTGCTGTGAAGGACTGTCACTATCAACATTCATCACACCAATGATGTTAAACACCGTCCTCTGCTTCGAGTTTCCTCTCGGGCTTTGAGTTCTGGAGGAGAGGAGCAACATCATACTCGTTTCTATTCATCTTTTCTTCTCCGTGCAGCGACGAATGGCTATATTGGAGCAAGATTTTCAAAACCTCCTTCATCGTAGGCCTACTCGAAGGAAGTTTTCCAGTGCAGAGAACCCCAAGTTTGAATACACTGCTTATCTCATCCAAGTAATGGGGTTCCTTGATATCCTCGTCCATGACCTCGACTACAGGTCTACCTTCCATAATGTGACACCACGCCCATTCTGCCAGAGATGACCTCTCGTCTCCATCACGAGCTTCCCTTCCGGTCACTAGTTCCAAAAGGATCACTCCGAAGCCATAAACATCAATCTTCTCGTTCACTCTTCTTGTATGTGCATACTCTAAAAATTTAAAGTAAATAAATTTGGGGAGAATATGGAATTTCAAAGACATTATTTGACTAGAGTTGAGAGTTTGTAGCATACCTGGAGCTATATAACCAAATGATCCTGCCACACTAGACATCGTGTCAGGTTCTCCTTGCTTGATCAACATTCTTGCTAGGCCAAAATCTGCAATCTTTGCATTGAACTCAGAATCTAACAGGACATTGCTTGATTTTACATCACGATGGATAATGGATGGTGAACAATCGTGGTGCATATAGGAGAGCCCTTGAGCAGCACCAATTGCTATTTGTAGCCTCTTGGGCCAGTCTAAAACCACATGATGAACTGAACCTGAGATTGTGGATGGTCGATTCTTGCCACGAAGCCATCTGTCGAGACTATGATTTTCCATATACTCGTATACCAGAAGCTTCGAATTCTGACTTGAAAAGCAACATAGAAGTTTCACTATGTTGGAGTGCCTTATGGTGCCGAGAATTTGAACTTCTGATAGAAATTCTTTCTCGAGTTTCTGATCCAACTTCACATTGTTCCAAATCCTCTTAACAGCAACGTATGCACCAGAACGATTTATGGGAATCCGGAAAACTGTTCCTGATCCTCCTCTTCCAATTATGTTGTTCTCTGTTAAACCAGATAAAATGGTTGATTCTGTGAAATTCAATCTCTGGAATGAAGTAAATTTCCAAGTCGACTCCAAATCGCTCTTTCTACTCCTGTTAGCTCTAACAATGAAGATCGTGTATACGAAAACCCCTAAAAATGCAACTGCTGAAATACTTGAGACTGCAGCAATTAAATGGGATGAAAGTTTGTTCGATTTTCTGGCAGGTGCAGCCTGACAACTGCTGAGGCCTAATGCTCGATTGCTTGCGCAGAGTCTTGGATTATTCCTAAAACTGCTATCATAAACTGCATTTTCAAATTCACCCGGGATTCTCCCGGAGAGCTGATTTGAAGAGAGATTGAGTGAAGATAGCCTCAAAAGGCCGATTTCAGATGGGATCGAGCCAGAAAAGTTGTTTGCTGACAAATCCAAATACACGAGGTCAGGCAAAAGCCCGATAACTGCAGGAATTTCGCCAGATAATTGGTTTCGACTGAGATTCAAAGTTGTTAAAGATTTCCACGAGATTATAGATGATGGAAGATTTCCAGAAAGTTGATTTCCATCCAGCAAAATACTTGACAGCAATGGAAGGGCAGTCAATCCTTGAGGAATTTTACCAGTAAGCAAGTTGTTACTTGCCTTAAACACCGTCAAGTTCTCCCAAGAAGATATCCCTGCTGGAATTTCACCCAAAAACTGGTTGTTATGTATCTCGAGCAGAGACAAGTTAGGCCCTACTGTATCCGGGAGCTGACCAGTAAACAAGTTATCGCTTATCATCAGTGTAGTTAAGTTCAATGACGTCCATAGCCCTCCTGGAATATTACCAGAAAATCGGTTTCCATAAACCCGAACAACCTTCAAACTGTTACAATTCCCTAGAGAATTTGGCAATTCACCTGTCAAATTGTTGTCGAAGACAACCACACCTATGAGGACCTTATTAGCACACAAATTCTTTGGTAACGTCCCAACAAAATGGTTAGACGAAACTTGAAATCTTTCCAATCTAGAGTATAACCCAAAATCTGGTGGCAATTCACCTGTAAGATTATTACCCCAGAGTCCAATGTTTATCAGAGATGGCAATCTACCGATACCTAACGGAACTTCGCCAGATAATTGATTGAAAAACAAAGCCAAACCGGTAAGTTTTGTCAGCTTTTCGAAATCATCTGGTATCGTCCCTGTCAAGGTATTGTTGGAAAGATCAATTTCCTCCAAATTCAAGGCCTCAACAGCCTGAGGAATTGGTCCCGATAGCCTGTTTTTGAACAGATACACAACAGTCAAGTTCTTGAGAAGAAACAGAGAATTTGGGATGCTGCCACTTAAACCATTTTCAGACAAATCCAGGACTTCTAAAGCTGACAAATTCCCAACACTTTCCGGGATTTCTCCTATCAAATTTGTTTTATACATCCAAAGATTTCTCAATTCCTTCAACTTTGTGAAACTTGGTGGTATTTCTTGTGGTAAGAATGGGTTGAAGTTCAAATATAATTCTTCGAGATTGGAAAGATTGCCAATTTCTGACGGAATAGAACCGTTGAACAAGTTGGAAGAAAGCTGAAGACTTTTGAGTTCTGGGAAGCTCCCAATGGATGCAGGGATATCACCAGTGAAATTGTTGCCACTCAAGTTAAGAACCTGAAGCCGGGGCGAAAGCCGGTTAATGTCATCAGGAATTCTTCCGACAAGATAATTTTGTTGAAGGTCTAAATATTCGAGATTGGAACAGTTATAAAGAACTACAGGAAAGGATCCAGGGATGAAATTCAGGTGAAGATCAATGTAGGACAGGTTTTTAAGGTCACAAATAAATGTTGGGATTGTTTCACTAATGTTGTTATTGATGATCTCAAGTTTCGTAACCCGACCATCGGTGCACGTGATCTCAGGCCACGTGCAGTGGTCGGATGACGGAATCCAGTGAGTGATGCTGGTTAAACTGGACCAGTAGCTTTTGAGTTGAAGAAGAATGGTTTGTTCTTGAGCTGTAACATTTTGTGCATTGCCATGAAAAAAGGGTAAGGTGAAGAAGAAAAGAAAGGTGAAGAAATGGAGAGATTTCGACATATTTCGAGGTGGGTTTTTCATCTAATCTTCTGTTGATTTGGTGGTGGTATGTAGCAGATACTTGAGGTGTGGATAATGGAGAAGAAGGTGATACCAAGATTATAATGTGAAAACAACAGGGAGGAAAGTGAGATGAGATACGGAGACAATGAAATGTGCACGTTTGTACATTGACGATTTAATTATTTTTATCCAAAGTATAACGAATATAAAGATAATAAATTATTTTGTTTCAATTTTTAAATGCAGTAATTTAACACCATATCCAAACAAATAAAATTACAAGTTTTAACCTTGTTGTCACTTAGACTAACATGACAAAGATGTGGACTAGGCGATAGCACAAGACTAACTGAATAAGCTACTATATTGTAAGGATTAAAATGAGATTTTCAATAGATTTTGATGAAGATCGATTAAATGTGTGGTTTAAAAGTTGTGAGTTCGAATAAATATTTAATTTGATTTAATCGTTAATTTTAACTTTAAAATATAGATTTTAGTCCCTACCAAATAGGGACTAAGGTATATGTTTAATTCTCATTTGGTCAAATCCTATGTATTAATGTATTGGCTACGAAACACTCGATAACGCATATTTATGAAAACGCGGACTCATTTAATCTAGGGGTGGACAAAATAATCAGACCAAATCAAAACCAAACTAAATCGACCGATTCAGTTCTGTTCGATTCTACAAAAAAAATAAAAAAATAAAAAATTAATGATTTTGATTTTGATTTTTAAAACTGAGAACCATTTGATTCTGATTCTGGTTGAACCAAACTTAATATTTAAATTTTATTATTTGTTATATACATTTATTTTTACAAATTAGTGAATCACAATTCAAACAAAAAAAATTCAAAATTCAATTGAAAATCGGGACAAAACTGTCATTTAGCTTCGGTTTCTCATTTCACAATGTGGAGACTAGAGATTCTAATCCATTTCGGAGATCCAGATTCTAATTCATTTCTCATTTTCTCTCCTTTTCAATTTATACACTGAATTTCACATAGAGACTAACAACTATCGCATGTCGTCTACCGTTACGCTCAGCCACCACCGTCGTATGAATTTTTGAAATTGAAGCCTCAACCTATTTATTTGAAAAACAAAATTCACAATCCAATTTTTTTCTTTTTTTTTTTGACAAGTAAGCTCACTTTTAATTTTTTTTTATCGAAATATGAAGTGAAAGATTTACTCAGAAGTCAACGTGAAAATTCGACATCGACAAAGTCTTTTAGAAAATATTTGTTACTATCCCACGAGATGATACGTCCCTAATTATAAAATCAGATAGATGTTTCCAATTTGTTATGGTGTAAAACTTGTACTTCGTATAAAGTTGTTTTTATCATGGGATGTGCTTAGTGTACATAATATATGTACATAGGAGTGTCCCTACCTCTCACATGAGGTGAGGTCCACATTTTTATGAGTCCCACCCCATGTGAGGGGTATAGACACCCCTATGTACATATATTATGTACATCAAAAATATTTCTTTTATTATTATTAAAATGTCAATATAAATAGGAAAATGTCACTTGTACACACTTTCTCGACATGGTGATTGACATTGTGCGTTGGCAAATGTTGATTGGATAGAAAATTTGTCAAAAATTTAAATTGTTCAATGATATTTTGTTACGTGGTATAATGTAAAAAATGATGTAGAAAATAATGTACATGTAGCATGATTACAATTATTCTAGTTGTACATTATTGAGTTATTTTGTTGATGACATTGCTCCAATGTGGGTGAAAATTGACATTTGATTGAAAAATGTTGTGTTAAAATTAATGTATAAAAAATTATCACTTCACACAGTGTCAAATTTGATATACATATAACAAAACTGTTGTAAATAAGGTTTTGCTGTGTACACCATGTACAAATAGCAAAACCCCTGAGAATATCCCTAACACCTAGAATGTTTTTTTATTTGTACATTCGAAATTGACATCTAGTATATAGCTCCCCTCATAATAGAGGAGGTCCACAATTTTTTATTGAACGTCAGCTCCCGGACCGCACATCGGATCTCACAAATAGCAAAACCAACAAAAAAAAAAATACAAGACCATTGACTATGAAACACGTAAGAAAGTTCAAACCAAATCGTTTATTCAAATTTGTACCAATTGCATTTCAAAAAAAAAAAATTTGTACCAATTATTTGACTTTTGCTTTTCCTTCTCGAGACTATATTTTAAATTTCAGTAATTTCTTTTCAAAAATGCTATTCATTTCCGGTGGGGATGCATCCCCAATCTATATGGGTGTAAATGATTGGTTAAATGTTAGTTGAAATTAAATGACTTATTTAATTTCACTTATCATTTAATGCCACATAAACGTCACATAGATTGGGGATACATCCTCAGTGGGAATGAATAGCATTTCTCTTTCATATGTGGTTGGAATTAAGTTTCGGAAAAAAAAAAAAAGAAGATTTTTTAGAAAATCGAGCTCAAACAAGGACTAAAAATAAAAATAATTTTTTTAAAAATATTACCCATATATTTCGACTTCATATTAAACTTTCAGCCCCTGTTTGGTGTGAATTAAAATCGGATTTTTTGTAGATTACGATAGAAATCGATTAAATGTGTAATTAAAAAATTGTGAGTCTCGTGAAATGTGCAATTTATTCTCGTTAATTCTTTGTTTCTGGTCATAAACTGCATTCTAAAAGTACCAAACTATAATGGAAAATAGTCGTTCAAAAGGGACGCCTTTGTTGAACGGAGAGCCGTACGAATTTGGCCAATTAAATGTATGACTTTGAAGTTTGAAAAATATCACATGATTCTTAAATTCTATTAGGAAGATATAGCAAGAATATTGATAGTCATAGAATATGTTGAACTTTGAACTAGCTAAGGTACACGCCTTGCTCTACGCACATTCTTTAATGATATAGTGCTAATTAATTTTTTTAATTCATCTATAATATATTAAATATTACATGAATTGAGAATCTTTTTTTTTTTTTCGATTCTATCATTATTACAATTCAATTATTTTAATAATACTTTACTTTTTCGTTTTTAATATGTTTTTAATAATTTAAATAATATTTTACTTTTCGTTTTTTAATATGTATTTAATTTATTTAATCATTTGAACAATATTATCATTAATTATTTTGTCAACTATTTAGTTATGATGAATGTACATTTTACACATTCATTACCTTACTTTTCGTTTTCAATATATATTTAATTTATTTAACCATATAAACAATATTATCATGAACTATTCTGTCAACTATTTAGTTATGATCAACATACATTTGAAAGATTCATTCGACTTGATTGGAGAGTAAATTAAATTCGTTAAAAATGTTTTGAAAGAAAACATGAATAATGTGAGAATTTTCTTCCAATTGATTTATTAAAAAATGTTAAGATATAAAGAAGGTAAATGGAAGACATAATGCATACCTTTAATAAATAATTTCAATTGATATATTCACTGTATATTAAGTTAAGATGCAGAAAGAATGATATTCGTTGAATGTTCGATTCAGATAAAAAAGGTAATTGAAGGAACCATAGTTATTAGACCCAATTCGGACGACTTGGTCGAGGTACTGGGTCACGGGTAGTTCGAACCGGTGGGTTAGTGTTGGACCGATGTGTCGGAGCTTAAAAATTCTAAAAGGTTTTTTAAAGTATAAAATTTTATTTGAGATAAATTTAAAGTTTTTGAATTATTTTTTATTAATTTTTTATATATTTTTAGATTATTTTGTTAAACATTCAATTCATTTTAATTAAAATTAGGACTATAATTTTTTTAAAAAATAAATAACAATAAACTGTTAGATTCTAGTGATTGGGTGCTACTTACCTTACTTTAAAGTCCAAGGTTCAAATCTTTTGAACGTCAAAAATTTAAGGATTTTTTTTTTTGAAATTTAGTCAAACCAGTAAATCGGGCCGGTTTAATATAAAAATCGCAGATTAACTCAGTCAACCGACGGGTCAACTCAATCAAACTGATTTGCATTTCTATCAAATTATCCAACCCGACCCAACTATGGAAGGAATTGTTTTAATTAACTTTCTTAACTATTTAAATTGTTTTCATAAACTAATTTTTATTTTATTTGAATCATCAAATATTTTGTTTTATTTTCTAGCACATCAATAGATAGATTTTAGCCAAATCGAGATTGCTTCCGCATATCAATATATGAAAATGAATGCTCCATTAAAGTGACGGCAGTTCAAAAGAGTTTGGTTGAATCGTAATCCAACAATGTTGGTAAATTTGATATTTTGAGGCTCATCTTAATTGACAAGCAGGTAATACGTTTACTATAATGACTCTTTATTTCGTTATTACATTATATATGAGAAATAACATAGTATTTGATTTTTTAACAGGAATATAAAATTTAGGTCATGTTATTAAACATAAAAAGTTATTTAATAGAGAGACTTTCATTGATTAAAAAGTTTATTGTACATAAATAATTTGTATTGACTATTTTTTTTTTTTATGTTTACGTATCTTCAAATATTATATTTATAGCACTTATAAATTATTTCAGAATAACGTGCGTTCAAGAGTATTATAAAATTAAACTAAAACCAAATACATATGGCTTTTTTTTTTTTTTAATTAGGACATTCTTTTATTAATTAGTACTTGTGAAGATTGGTCAAATGTTTTCAAATATATAAAAATTACTTAACGTATCATAAAAATAAAATATGTAACACTATTTTTATTAAGTTATGGAACTTAGTTATTGTATGTGGGTAAATATTGGTGAATCAAAGTAAATCAAACCAAAATCGAAGGCCCGTGTTTACACGATTTCCTTAAGTCGAATTCGCCGCCTCATCGGGGTGCAAGAGGTTTTGATCGGTGTTCGATTCCCAAGATACAATCGGTTGTTGGTCTACGCTGCACAACGTTAGCCGCCTACGAACTAGTTGTGTCTATCTCTTAAAGAACTTTAGCAAAGAAGAAAAGGAATAAAAAATCGAAAGAA